GAATAAAGTGTTATTAAATCAAATACTAAATTCTGAAGTTCTATTAAAGCCTAGGAGGCCGATTTACTATATGTATATATACTATATATATGGCAGCATATATGCTGATCATATGAAGATTGACGAAATCTTTTCCTTGACGTCACTTCTAGTGCCACATAAGCCAATTTCTTTTCTCAAATTTTTATCCTTTGATATATAAATGGCAAACCTCAACGCATAATGAAGGTCGTGGACATAATTGTTAAAAGAAATTTGCAATTCACCCTGATAACACGTCTCAAATCGACGTTTTAATTCCACTTCGAAATGCGATGCATAAGTTCATTCTTTCAAGGTGAAAATGCATAGAGCAGGCGTCGCGAACACCTCTTATACAAAAATCACAACTCATTTCAATTCTGTCTACTTATGACTAATCAATTAGGATCTGAGTTCCAATTTTTTGTGCCTTAGGCAAACTTTACGTAAAAACCCATCAACCGTTGTCATCAACACCTGCACTGTGCACGATACACCCCTAATTGCCACTATCAAGAGAATTACGTGCTCCCGAAGTAAAAAATTATTGACTGCCTCCGTTTATTCTTTACCGTCTTCTTGATTCCCCGACGACGCAATCCTTTTAATAGCATAATTCACATCTCTTATAGGGGAATCACCAAACCATGAAAATCCCATGCGTCAGTATTACCCATGCACACCGTATGTTTGTTCATTAATAGGAAATTGGTGGGTTCAGCATATTGTCATCCAAACAATAATATTCATTCCTAAGGAGACATCCAGACGATGTTCATGTTCAGAAATGCTAAAAGAGTATACATCCTTGAACCGGGTGCAGCGACACTATGGACAAAATGGACTGACAAGAGTTAACTTGTTCCACCTATAATCAGATGGCTTCAGGGCCATTTTAAAGGTACTTCGGCATGGGTTTAGGAAAGGGTAGCTGACAGAGATGCTTGTTTAGCCAGGACTATTGGCTAATGTCAAGTAACGCAGTATTGAAAGCACAC